CTTTGCTGCCAAAAATATATTGCAGCACTGATTAAAAGGGTTGGCTTAAATAATTTCTCTCTGACTCTACCTTTTTTCTTTCGACTTCTGCACTGCTAGTGTTTATGTGCTTAAACATTGAAGGGAAACCATTAGGATGCTGATAACATTAGGTTATTTTGCTATGTAATACTATATGTAATGCAGCATCTGCCTGAGAAGTAGTTTTGGTACAGAATCTTTTACCATCTGTGCTGAGTTCTGGAATGTGTCCAAATTCCTTCCGGTTCAGTGTTCTGAGAATCACATATTGTGTAGCCAAAAAATTCAGAGATGAGCAACAGAGGAAAGAGCTGCCTGTCTGCAGTATTCTTAGAGCCTGTGTGATCTCCATCAGCACATTGAACAGACAACTGAAATACAAGCCCCATGCCTTGTTATTCCTACTAAGCTTTGGAGTTTCAGTCTACAAATGCATATGGGTTCCATCTACTTACTGAAATACCTAGTTTGATCTGATTGTAAGCTCTCCGGCATGGCATATTCCTGTTTTCCTGTGTGTCTCATATTCTGGTGTCATTTTCCCTTTTGTCATAAAGGAGACATCAGGAAAATCTTTCCTGGGAGCTATTGAGCATGCTTAGCTGGTGAATTTCTCAGGTGTGGGTGGGAGCAGGAGGGAAGGCTGGGGGACCCTGATAAGTAGAGGAGTCTGTCTATTGCAGGAGGGTAAACCTTAGGTCTGCTGCAAATACAGAACACTAAAACCCTTGAGAAAATTCTGGGGTTGTTTTTAATCTAGTAAGCCACTTAAACTACCAGACTAAAGTATCCATGCTGAAGTTTTAAGAGTTCGTCTCTTTGCCAGCTTTCCCATTTGAAGAGCTATCTTTTTTCTTCATTTGACCCTACTAAACCATAAAAGGTACTGGTGTTTGACAGACTCATTGTAAAAGATGGGAAGGACACATCCATTTGAAAACTCTGACAGCTCAGGTCAATAACTGCTCTCTATGTGAAGGCTTAAGATGATGGTATTTGTACAGAAAGGTTACTCAGAATTTTTTTCCCCTTTAGGTAACTGATACTTGTTCAACCAAATTGTTCTCTAAAAGGTATAGGAGGAAAAAGTGTCTGTGGAGTAGCTGAATGCCAGTCTTTCCTCATGCCAGAACCCTCCAGTGACAGGGCTTGAATTCTCACAGGGCAGTGCTGCATAGATTCACAGTCCTTTTATGGCTAAGTCATGCTTGAGTTGCAGATCTCTTGGGGTTGTTCCTGGCTCTGCCCTCACTCTGAATCACTGCCTCTTGCATCACCTCTGCTTCTGATGCCCAAACTATGCTCAGCTGTCTACTCGTCTAGAAGCTCCTAAATTCTATTCCTGATTTCTGAGGTGTAGTTCAGAAGCAACTGTTTCTCCAAATTATTTATTCACATACATTAGGTACTGGACCTTGTTACAGATTTGATTCACTCACAGGGAATCATCAGATCTTGACAACTGTAAACTGCCATTCTTGTTGTGTAATGTTCTTCATTATGGTTTGTTTGTGAGAACTGTATTTGCTCTTTGTCTTGCAGGCCTGTTTGCAGTATAGAATCATCTGTGATACTGCACTTGCAACACTGTTTTGCAATTAATAATTTTTAGATGTCCCTCTGTGCTCAGTGGAGGGCTGTGTGTCTTTGTTTGCAGATGTAGTCACATCTGAACTAGAATATCTGTATATCTGTGTTTCTGATCATATTTTTTAACACAGCTTTTACATGATACATGAAACTTACTCTGAACCTCTGATTTCTTACAAAGGCTTCACCTTCTGCCAGCGCATTACACCTCAAGAATATGAAGATCAAAAACAACAAACCAATCAGTATCTTCTAGCATTGATTCGAGAGATGGACAATGACCCTGCTGTTCCTTTGAAGCAAAAGAAGAAATTAATCAAAGAATTCAAAAAATACCATTGTCTATTGTAGTGGTTGTAAAACTACATGTGAATTTTGTACTCCAAATGGTTTGACATCAACATAGCCTTTTTCATCTTCTTTAAAAAAAGTGGAGGATGCACATGAAAACTGTTCATGATAAAAAATGTTTTCTTCCTATGTCTTTACATCTTCAGTTTACGGAAATACAACTATCAAAATTACTATGGTGCTAAAAAGCATTAAATCTAATTATTTTTTTAAGGAAAACGTATTTAATTGCTTGTAAGTTAGTACAGCACTGCTTGTGCTGCTTTGAGTTCAGCATTTGGCACTTTTTTCCTTCTGTCCCACAACCCCATGGCTCTCTATCTGAGCCAAGTCTACATTCAGAGCCATGTTTGGGTTGATAATCAGCAGGGGCTTTTAATCTTTTCTATCTCTAATTAATAATAATTGAAACTCTAGATTATGACTCCTGTGGGTGTTGTAAAATTGTAGAAAGTGTGTCAAAAAATGTTAGAAGCAGGTAAGTGGGTTTTGAATCTGGCAGGCAAAATTTATTAGGCATGGAAACTGTGTGTGCTTGCAGGTAGTAATTACATCCTGTTGTTACTCCTTCTCCACTATGGCAGACTGAGCTGCTGCAAATTCAGCAATTATGCAAAAGCAAGTAGAAAATTACATTTTGAGGAAACCTAAGAAATAATAATCTTATTTTAGATCTCTTGGTATACTTAAGTAATTTATTTTAGCATGAGGACATTTTGAGAGTGTCCAGTTATTTATCATGAATACTTTGATAATGTTTATGAATTTATACAGCAAAGCTAGAAAGGATGTTGGCCTGTCTTGACACATTGAAGGTTAACTGTACATTGACAAGAAACGGTTGATACAAGTCATACAATTATAGAATGGTTTGGGTTGGAAGGAACCTTAAAGATCACCTAGTTCCAACCCCCCTGCCATGGGCCAAGGACACCTTTCACTAGACCAGGTTGCTCAGAGCTCCATCCAACCTGGCCTTAAACACTTCCAGGGATGGGGCATCCACAACTTCTCTGGGCAACATGTTCCAGTGTCTCACTACCCTCACAGTGTGAAATAAATAATTTCTAGAGGAAAAAAGACCAAGCCTGACCTTTCAGATGTGAATGCCCTAAATCCTAGACTACAGGACCACGAATTGTTTTCCTAGCCTTGTGTGGGATTTCTAGCCCTATGTCATTATCCCAGAAGAGGGAGCATGTACAAAAGCAGGCTCTTGAGAATTGTAAACAGGAAAGTATTTCCCAATTAAGTGCTTCTGGTGTTGAGTAGTGGGAGAAAGGGATTTTAGTTGCTTATTTTTCTTCCTCTCTCTCTCTCTTTGTCTTCAGTCCCTTTACTGGGTCTTACTCAAAATACTAAACCTGGTAACAGGGAGGGGTGATTACATGGTAATTTGTAGGCTAGATGGGCTGGGAACTGCTTTGGGAAAAACTGTATTTTTAAAAAACAAGCTCTTGCACTTTGCAACTTGAATTTTTTTGTGCTAATTTAAAGATAATAAAGAATTGCATAAAAAGTGACAAATCTATCATTTCGTAGTCCATTCATACAGAGGAGGCAGCTCAGGGGGTGTACAACCAAGTACCAAGCAGTAAGGAAATATTCCTAACGAGTGTTTATAGCTGCCATGTGGTTCCCTTCAGTTCATGGGACATGAAGTCAAGATTGATCTAGTTCTGCAAAGGGAAGGAAGAGCTCATGAGAGCCCTGTTTTATTCTCATAGCCTGACAGGAGAACTTACTTACCTTTAATCTTCTGTTGAAAGAAATGTGATACTTTACATTTAAGTATGAGGGCCTGCTGAACAGAACAAGTTTGGTGAAGTATAGACTACTGGTTTTCATTGTTACAGTTGCAGTTAAATTCCAAAATCAGAAAAATGTTATTGACTCTAGAAACTTTTGTCACATATTTTTAACAATATTTGACACAGAATCATCTGGTAGGGAAACTTGGGACCTCTCACTCATTTTTGTTTTTGATTTCTAGCATAGAGCTATCAAATTAATTGCCAGTATGAATTTGTTTGAAGTGGAAAATTTCTAGAGCAAAGAGCTTAGTCTATAGGTGCTTTTCAGTACAGTCTTATCAAAGCACAAGTGATGCCACCTTCAAAGTAAGGAGGCTTGCTTCTATCTATAGAGCATTCATGTTTGCTCCTAGCAAGGAAAAGGTTTATTAGTACTTTCATGGGAACAACGTGTGTATTTCCTTATTTTAAGTCCCAGCTAAAGTATGCTTATAATTGTATGAAGCAGTTAGTTAAAAAACTAGAAGCTTGGATTCTACATACAGCTATCAAAATAACAGTAGACTAGACCTATTCCCATCCTAAACAATCTAATACAAGTTGTGTCCAACAATTTGTTGGTGGTGGTCCCACACCTTCATACTCCAGCTGCCTCTGTGGCTCATGTAGCTGTTACCAGAGGGAGGGTGCCTCTTTTGTTCCTTTCAATAGGTTAGACTAGAGGAAGGCCACCACAAGCTGGCAGTCCAAAGTAAAGATCATGTTCAAGAAGAAAGATCATCTTTCGTTCTCTGAAGCATTGGCTTCTCTTCCGTGTTGCCCTTATGCAAGGCAGCCAGGTAAGTGTACTGTGTGAGTATACCTACTGATTTTATGTTAGGGCAGACAGCAGCGGGAATGAGGCACAACAGGGTACTCCTCTGCAAATCTGAGAGCACTAAGTATCACTAGACTTAATAAAGAGGCCATGTCCCCACTGCAGTGAGCTGCATCACATCAAGGTCAGTGTCAGCACCAGTGTATCCATTATCCACCCTGTCCAAGTGCCTACCTTGGACAAGTCCTGGCAAGCAAACAAGCCAGGTGGGACGCCCCCAACTAGCGTGGCCCTCCCAGCCTTCTATCTGGCTATTAGCCCATGCTGTGCTCTTTCTCCTCCTGCAAGCCATGCTGCAGACTAATGGCACAGTAACAGAGCTTCTGATGCCAGAAGTAAAAAGTAGTGGAGTATTTGTGTTTATCTAGAATGCATGGAGAGGACACAGATGGGTTATCAGCTAGGACACAGCTGCAAGCTTTTCTCACCTTTCTGGCTGCTTCTGATGTCACCTTTTCAGAAAGGGGAGCGGAATGGCAAAAAGCTTATTTGCTCAACCACTGTTCAAAACAAAAACCAACCAAAAAACACCACAATCTAAAATCCTTTAAAAAAAAAAGAATTGTTCAAATCACTCTTTTCTCAAAGCCTAAGCATAGTTTCAATAGCAGTGGTCACACTCAAGTATATTCCTCTCAAAACTATTCACTAAAATAACCAAAAATAAAGCTCATGTATTTCTTTTCAGGATAGGCAATCTGAAAGACTCTTTTTGAGATGTGTTTAATTGCATGCATGATTTAGAATGATATTCAGTTTAAAAAAAACCTCAAGCCATTTCTTCTCACTATGTATTAGTGTTGCATTGGTACCAGCAACTGGTATTTTTATTACCTCGTGCACTGAGGTTTTCTGCAATTAAGAATACAGTGAAACTCATCAGTAAAAGATGAGGACATTATGAAATGACAAGAAACATATTATTTCATAGTATTAAGCTTGTAAAACTTTATTTCTAAACTCTGAAGTTATTTTTTTCCCAACCCAATTAAATACAGGAAAGCTAAAACACAATCCTAACTGATGGAAAACAGGTTGTAGTTCAAAGAATTCCATTCTGAGTAAAACAATGGAATAACAACATAACCAACTATGCGACCTATATATCAAATTTCTCCTCACAGATGTTGTGTCCATGTTCTTCATAATCTTCTCTAGTTACTATCATGTCTTCAAAATCGTCATTTTCAGAAATGAGCTTCCCACCTTCCCAAGAATAAGTAATAGGGCTGAAAAATGAACAAAGTTATTGTTACTCATTTAAAATAGAAGCATGCAGTGATGACTTTCAAGACTTTTATTTAACCATATCTATTTAAAACTTCATTTTTGATTGCTAAATCAAACCATTCAGCTTCCAAGAAGTTATGAGACAAAGTTTGAAATTTTAGCCAGGCTAGCTGACTTTCTTTTTTAAAAAAGTGCCTCTTTGGAAGCAGGTGTGAAGAGGGAATGGCATGAGTATGTCTTTGTATTTACTATGCACAGATAACGATTCTTTAATAATAATTAAAAATATTCTTTAATAATAATTTTTTAAAAGTAGAGATTTTTTTGTACTTTCAAGGTATCTCAGCTCTCTCTGCAAAGATGTTACCCCTTCCAAAAATCCCTGAAGTAGCTACATTAATAATGACATCACAGCATTCCGATGCTGAAAATTCTTCTAGGTAAAAGTCTAAATTTATTAATCCTGCATACTTGCATACCCACTTAATGAAAATAGTCTTAATTGTCTGTTTGCAATAAAAAGGCTGATCCTAAAAACACTTAACTTTACTAGCCAAAGTACAGAGCAAGCAGGTGGTATCTAATTTCTTTGGTTTCTCTGAAAATACACTGATTTAAAATATTCTTTTTGTAAAATTTTTGTTCACTTAATATTTAAATTAACACCTTTAATCAGTCTATCTTTTTAATCAGCAAAAGAAATCCTACTTTATAAATTTGTTCTGCTAGAAAGATAAAGCCTTCTGTTTAGAAGTTTAGAACTTACTTTTCAGGAAGAACAACAGAAACATCGTAATCAGTTGGAGTAAGACATCGAACTTCAGAATAAACCCTATCTCTAAAGCCAGGAAAAAGGGTGTTTCCCCCAGTCAGAACTATGTTCTTGAAGAAATGAGGCTGCATTTCTGTAAAATAAATAAGTAAATCTGTAGCTGGAGACCATGCATTTAAAGATTAAAGGAGAGTTTTTTTCCAATTTTGTTATGAACTGGAACAGAAGTAGGAAATATGCATAGAAGAATTTTATAATCATCTAACCAGTTAAATACAAGAAAGTGATCAATCACCCTATGTTCTTCCTGATTGCAGAATTGGGCTTTGATAACTACTGTTTTCTTACATTCTCTATTACATTTCATGTTTGCCAACACAATTCCCCATTCAAAAGGGGTTTTAAATAACACAGTTTTTTTAAGAGTACATTAATAGCCTAAATGCTGCCATACTTACGTGGTATAATAACAGTAATTAGCTGTACATCATCTACAAAATGAAAGCTTCAGTATTGCTTCTGACAAACAGCAGTTAGGGAGGTTCTACACTTTGATGCTTAAATTACTAAATTTGGCCAGTTTCGTTTTTCTAATCAGTTTGATTTTTCTCTTTCTCCAGTGAAGAAAGATATTTTAAAACATAACTAAAAGTAATTTCAAGTGTATTCCACCATTGGTGTCAAAGACAGACAGATCATGTTAGAAAAGGATGTTAAGAAGAATTAAGTCTACAGCGATTAACTGAATCAAAAGTAGAAACCAATCAATAAATAACCAAAAAACCATGCTGGCCTAACACAGACTTTTGCAGACAATCAGTTCTAGAGTATGTAAAATACACCAAAAGACAGAACAGTTCACCAAACTGTTTAACTGGCATATTGAGAGTTTTAGCTTCTCTAAGACTATTTGTATCCTTAAAAACAAAACAACGAAGAAATCCAAAACCAAACCAACAACAGAAACCACCACAGCATCCCTCCTTCCCCCAGCTCCCATCCTTTTCATAACACTTTCAAGTTATACCTTCAGGTAAATTCTGAATAGAATAAACAATGGCTTCAGGAATTCCCATCTCTTGAATACCAATATCCGAAGGATGGAAGAGTATTTCTGGAACTGCAAATCTTTCATTTGTTAGACGAAGTATTTGTTCCCCAGTCTTGTATTTTCCACTTAACACCATCTCTTCCCTCGGCTAAATTAAAGACATGAATAGTACCCACTGCTTAAGAAAAGAAATCACATTCTAGAGTATTCAGCTAATCTATTTCATGTACTGCAGAGGTAGGCAGTCATATTATCAACAAATCTTTTAAGA